GTCATCGTCGTCGGCGTGATCAGCATCGGCGCCCGCATTGACCGCGCCTTCGTCGTTGTCAACATCGTCGCCAGCATCGCTACTACCGTCATCGCGTCAGCCGCTTTCGGCGTTGCCATGATTCGCATGAAGTGCCCGGTGGGACGCGCCCAGCGGTCAGCACCACCGCGGCCGCGTCGTTCCCGCCAAACTAGCTGGCCGCTGCGCGCGCGTGCTGGGGTTGGCGCGGCCTCAGAAATGCACCAGCCAACGCCAAGCATGCATCGCAATATCCACCGCATGGGTTTTGCAAACCAAGCTGCGGGTAGGTGGGTGGGATGTTTGCAAGAACATGGGATGTGTCAGCCCGCTTGGTAAAACCAAGTGCACCACGTAGATTGCACCATTGCACCGCGTAGCTTCTTTGTCGTAACACAGATATTCGAATCTCCCGCCCCCCCACACGCGTGCGCACGCGCGCATCCGCTGAATTAACGTAGCGCGGCCCGTTCGCGTATTGCAATTTACGCATGGTTGTGCCCCGTCGCCCATCTGAAATTCGTGCCGTCCCAGGCAGGCTGGTCTCTTCGGTTGCGGCTAGACCCTTGCATCGCTTCCGTTGAGAAAACCGACCACTGGGGAGGAAGAGGTTCTTGCAATATTCCCGAAAATGTAGATCAAGTATTATTTGTCGCAGTTCCACAATTTGTTGTGTGATGTGTGGAAGGACAGTCCGTTTCGACCTTCTATGCATGTCTGCCTGAGGTGTGGAGTTTTTTTTTTTTTTGTTGTTGTTGTTGTTGTTGTTGTTTTTTTTGGGGTGGGTGGGTGGGGGGGGGGGGGGCACATTTGTGTGTAATGTGTAGAAGCTACGTGTTTCGTTGCGTAGAATAGGCTCGCCGGAGACACAATGCACAGATCCAGGGATGCGTAGAACCTGATTTCTCGTTCTGACCCCCCACTAGCTTGAGGGCGTACAAACATCCGACCTTGCATCGATCCCCCCCTTCATCCTCGGCAACAGATGCCGCTCGTTTATCGAAATTCATCAGTTTCCAAGAACCCCTTGCAACAAATGGAACGAAATGCACGCAGGCGCGTCGTCGCGCGCGCGCGCGAAGAAATCCTTCGGCAACCTGGATTGTCCAGTGATTTCATACTTGAGTGCCCCTGAAACATACAAAACTCTCAGGTGTTGCAACGTCAGTTTAAACGTGCTTTCGCTAGCGCTCCCGCGAATCCTTCAAACGACAATCGGTTTTTTTGAATCACATCTGCCGAACGGGCCTCTCGCGCCGCACGTCGAAATCATTCGAACGCCCTTGCGCGCGCGTGCGGTGGGGGGGTTGCGGGGGGGCGGGCGCGATCCGTATCAAATAATTCCATGCGGGCCCTTCTCGCGCGTCGGCCGCGCGCGCATGTCGATCTCCCTTCAAGACCTTCATCACCGGCGCGAGGGCGGCGTCATCGCCGTTGGCGTGGTGAGCGTTGGCGCCGTCATTGGCCTTGCCGTCGTCATCGCCACCGCCGTCACCATCATCGTTATTTTATCATCGTGTCTAATGTTGTCGGCGTCGCCATGGTACTGCGCCCGCCCAAGTCACCGACTCGCACTGAAGTGCCCGTTGGGAAGTGCCCAGCGGCCCGCGCCACCGCGGCCGCGTCGGTCGTGCTGCGCAAATTGGCCGCTGCGCGTGCGAGCATGCGCGGGCTAGCGTGGCCGCAGAGATGCACCAACCAACGCGAAACACTCATCGCAATCGCCGCCGCATGGGTTTACAAACCAAGTTGCGGGTGGGTGGGTGAGATGATGGCGCGAGCACTGGAGTTGACATTCGCTGCGAACATAAGTTCGTTGTCCGACATCGGTTCTCTTTTCGAAACGAGCATTCGGATCTACCTCCCCCCCCCGAAATTAGCGGTTCCCACAGAGGATGTGCAATGCGCGTATGTTTTTGCACCGTCTGGGTGAGAGCTTCGTTGCGGACCTGGTGCAACTGGATAGAACTGGTCATAGAACTGTTCACATAACTGGTCCATTAAAAATAGGGTCCGGCATAGAATTTGCCGATATCAAAAAATAACATCGTCATGCAAATTTTCATTTGAAACGACCAGTTCTATGCCTCACCCTGTTTTTCATGGACCAGTTCTATGACCAGTTCGATGACCATCTCTATCCAGTTGTGCCAGCTCCAAAGGGAAGACGCAGGGCTGCCAGGGCGCGCCGTTGTTTGTTTCTGTTGTTTGGGCCCCGCGCTTCGTTCGATTTGCTTTGCCTTGCTTTGCGTTGCATGTCCGCGGTCCGAAGTCTCTGGGCTCCACCGTCCTTCCTCTCCTCCGTACTCGTCCAGGCCCTGCACTTCTCCGCGTCTCGCACTCGGGTTTGCTATATGCTTCTCGCTCGTCCTAGCGTTGCTCGGGCCTTCGCGTGACACGTACACACATTTGAAGCAGCTCGCATCAACAGCGAAACCGCCTTGACAGGGTTGAATACCACGTCTGGGTAAGAAGAGTTTTCCTTGTTTCGTTGATGTGGGCTTGCTTCGTTGCGGAACTGATACAGCTGGATAGAACTGGTCATAGAACTGGTCACAGAATTGCGCCAGTAAAAAGTGGGTCCAGCATAGAACTGGTCGATATTCTCAAACGTAATGTAGATACTGATTTACAAATGTTCATTTGAAACGACCAGTTCTATGTCTGACCCTGTTGTTAATGGACCAGTTATATGACAAGTTCTTTCCAGTTGTACCAGTTGTGCCAGCTCCACGCACTTCTCCACGCAAAGGGAAGCCGCGGGGCTGCCAGGGCGCGCCGTTGTTTGTTTCTGTTGTTTGGGCCCCGCGCTTTGTTCGATTTGCTTTGCCTTGCTTTGCGTTGCATGTCCGCGGTCCGAAGTCTCTCGGCTCCGCCGTCCTTCCTCTCCTCCGTACTCGTCCAGGCCCTGCACTTCTCTGCATCTCGCACTCGGGTTTGCTATATGCTTCTCGCTCGTCCTAGCGTTGCTCGGGCCTTCGCGTGAGATGTACACACATCTGAAGCAGCTCGCATCAACAGCATAACCACCTTGACAGGGTTGATTACCACGTCGTGCATATTATGAGTTCGCATCGTCCCAGCTTAGCCAGAATTCCCCCTCCCCCCTCACCCCCTGCAAAAGGATACTTTGCGCGCGCACTCGTTTATCAAAACTCATCAGTTGTCAAGAGCCCCGGGCAAGCCAAATGACGAAGTGCCGTAGGGATTTCAAAACCGAGCGCCACGAATGCATATAAAACACATGGTTTCGCAACAGGGGTTTCCAAAAAAGCCTGCGCTCGCGCCCTTGCCGATTCTTAAGAATACCGTTTTTACAACATATTCGTAACATGCTACCAGGCGGACCTCTCGCGCGCGCACGCTGAAGTCGTTCGAGCGCTCTTGCGGGCGTGCTGTCGCAAGAGTCGTTTGCAAGAGAACCGGTACGAAGTGTGCACGCGCGCGTCGTCCCGCGCTTATGCCGAAATCTTTCAAAATCTTCGCTTCCGTAGGGGTTTCAAAAACCAGTGTCCCGAACACGTATAACACCACATGGTTTTGCAACATCAGTTTTCAAAACAGCCTGCGCGCGCGCCCTTGCGAGCTCTTCAGAAAGCCATCGATTATCCAACATTGTCATCGAATGCTGCCAAACGGGTCTCTGGCGCCGCATGTCGAACTCATCCGGACGCCAATGCGCGCGTGCTGGGGGGGGCACGATCCGTATCAAATCATACCACGCGGGCCACTCGCGCGCGTCGGCCGCGCGCGCATGTCGAACTCTTTCCAAAACCTTCATGACCGACGCGAGGACATCGTCATCGTTATCGGCGGGCGTGATCAACATCGGCGCCGTCATTGGCCTTGCCGTCGTCATCGCCACCACCGTCACCATCATCGCTATTTTATCATCGTGTCAACTGTTGTCGGCGTCGCCATGGTACCGCGCCCGCCCAAGTCACCAACTCGCACTGAAGTGCCCGCTGGGAAGTGCCCAGCGGCCCGCGCCACCGCGGCCGCGTCGGTCGTGCGGCGCAAACTGGCCGCTGCGCGCGCGAGCATGCGCGGGTTAGCGCGGCCGCAGAGATGCACCAACCAACGCCAAGCACTCATCGCACTCGCCGCCGCATGGGTTTGCACATTGACTTGCGGGTGGGTGGGGCGATTGCGCGAACAGTAGAGTTGTCAACTCATTGCGCGCATGGGTGACTTGCACCACATAGATGGCACTACATGGGTTGCACAACACAGAATGCATAACGTATATTGCACAACATATAGGGCACCACATGCGTTGCACCGCATACACTGCATCACATCTCGTAAACAGCGGCGCCCTCGCCCCAGCGCGGGCCAGACGTTTGGGTCTGATGTCTTGCTCGTCGATGCCATTCCCCGCCCTTTCCCCTCCTCCGTCTTCCCCTGATCTTCCTCCTCCTCTTCCTCTGCGTGCTCCTGCCTTTGCCTGTCACCCTTCCTAGTCCTCCTCTGCCTCATCCTCCTCCTTCTCCTGCTCATCCGCCCCTTCATCCTTTCCCTCGAGTTTACAGAAGCCTTCTTATCCGACGGCGTAGCACACGATAGGGTCACCATTTGGGGATCAAAGTCTCTGAGCACACCCCAGACGGCGGACGAAAAGGACCCAGCGCAGCGGGAAGGGATGGGGGGCGGGAGGGGCCAGACGCCAGACGGTGCTCACGGGCGCACCAAACCTGCCCCTTCCATGGAGGCCTGATGTCGTCCTGGGCCCATCCCTTGAAAGACGAGACCGGCGATCCATGCAGAGACGATTCTGGAAAGATCTCGATCATGAGCGAACTATCCAGCAAAGACTCGCAAGCGCTACCCCACGCGAATGTGCGCCGACCCCTGGAGGATCCTCTTGAGCGCCGACCCAAAGCAGCACACAATGCCCCAGGCGAAGACTCGGAGCCAGTGCTGCTGCGGATGCGTGGTGCCGTGGACGCGCCGCCGCGCCTTCCCCCCAGCGACGCGGCAAGGCCACAGACGATGGTAGACCAGATGCTGTCCCAGATCGACGAGCTCAGGCCGGGGGGCTTTCGCCGTTCGACATTCGCTCGCTCGCTCGCCGCCGCTGCTGCCCCGCCGCCGCCGCCGTCGTCGTCGGCGGCGGCCTGGGAGCACAGAGGATCGGGCAGTGCCAAGGGGGTCACCACCAGAGGGGTAACAAGTTCCTCAGGATCGGGGTTCCAGTATCCAGCTCTCGTGCTTTTGTTGACGATTGGTGTCGTTTAGGGGGGCCTTGGAGTGTTCAGGGGGTCCCATTTCCTGGAGGAAATGGGGTTTCCTCGAGGAGGTGGCGGGTGAGGAGGAGAAGGAGGAGAAGGAGGAGGAGGAGGAGGAGGAGGAGGAGGAGGCGTACGACGACGACGAGGACGACGACAAGGACGAGGAGGAGGAGGAAGGGGACGAAGGGGGAGGTTTCCTGGGATTTCGAAGGATCTACAGGGGTATCCAGGTGTTTCTAGGAGCTTCGAAGACGGAGAGGAAGGGTTGGCAATTGGGGAAGTCCCGACCTTGCCCCTGGGGCCGGCTCTTCATCCTGAACAGTTCTTTGACGGCCCCTGGGGGCCCGGCAAGCCCTTCGAAGACGAAGACGGCGAAACATCCTTGCCCTAACTTTCTCAACACGTCGGAGGTCGGAGTCCCACACCCTCTTCAGGGCGCAACTTCTGGGAGGCTTCATTCAGCATCGGCACTGGTACGCGCGCGGTTGAAAGCGGGCCTAATCATTCAGCATCGGCACTGGTACGCGCGCGGTTGAAAGCGGGCCTAATCCAGCATAGTCCCGTTTCAATCCGTCGACGCATTCCGGCTTAATCTTGGGCTCAATTTGTGGTCAATCGGGCCCAGTGGCCCTGTGTCCTGCCCGGGCATGCTGGCCCTTGATCGTCTCCTCGAAGACGTCCCAGAAGTTGCCCCCTCGCCGTGGAGGAGGAGGAGGAGAAGGATGAGGAGGAGGATGAGGAGGAGGAGGAGGCGGAGGAGGAGGAGCAGGAGGATGAGGAGGAATACTAATAACAAGAAGAAGAGTAAGAAGAAGACGAATAATAATAATACGTATGATAGTACGAATAATAAGAAGACGAATACTAATACGACTATTAAGAGTAATCATAGTAAGAGCAAGCACGAAACTAACACTACTAGTACTAATAGTACTAGTAATAAGCAAAGCATCAATAACACTAATATTCATAGTAATAATAATGACTAATATTAAGAATAAGCAGACTACTTAGAAACATACTAATAGTTACCCCAGTGCGACCCTACCTAGAAGTTGGAGCCCCTAGGAAAGCAGCATTAGTTGCTATGCTATGCTATGCTATACCATGCTATGCTGCGCTATGCTATGCTATGATATGCTATGCTATGATATGCTATGCTATGCTATGCTATGCTGCGCTATGCTAATGCTATGCTGTGCTATGTTAAGCTAAGCTAAGCTATGATATGTCATGCTGCGCTGTGCTATGCTGCGCTATGCTATGCTATGCTATGCTAAGCTGCGCTATGCTATGCTATGCTCTGCTCTGCTATGCTATGCTATGCTATGCTGCGCGGTGCTATGCTGTGCTGTGCTGTGCTGCGCTATGCTATGCTGCGCTATGCTATGCGATGCTGGGCTTTGCTATGATATGCTATGCTGCGCTATGCTGTGCTACGCTCTGCTATGCTATGCTGTGCTCTGCTATGCTAAGCTCGGCGAAGCTAAGATGAAGGTAAGCTAAGCCAAGATAAACCTGAGCCAAGATGATGCTAAGCGAAGCTATGATGAAATAAGCTAAACTAAGATGAGATAAGCAACGCTAAGCTAAGTGAGCGTCACTGGGGGAACCGCGGGGCGGGGACTGGGGGAACCGCCCGGGGCGCGTTCCACTGCCCGGCCTTTTTAAGCTAAGAGAGTAAGAACCCTTCTAGGCAGAGCCTAGGTAGGGAATTATACGAATATTAACAACGCAAATAGCAACAACAATAACAACAATAATGATGATATTACCAGTACTAATGATACTAATAAGAATGAGTAAAAGAAGTAGAATAGGAGTAATAATACTAACAACAATAAGAATACTAATACTAACACTACTACTACTACTACTACTACTACTACTACGGCTACTCCTACTACTACTACTACTAGTAATAAAACTGCTAATAATACTAACAATAGAAATTATCCCAGTGCGACCCTACCTAGAAGTTGGAGCCCCTAGGAAAGCAGCATTCGTAGTAACAGAAAAGCTAAGATAAAACTAAGCTAAAGCTAAGCTAAAGCTAAGCTAAAGCTAAGCTAAAGGTAAGCTAAAGGTAAGTTAAAGCTAAGCTAAAGCTAAGCTAAAGCTAAGCTAAAGCTAAGCTAAAGCTAAGCTAAAACTAAGCTAACGCTAAGCTAGAGCTAAGCTAAAACTAAGCTAGAGCTAAGCTGAAGCTAAACTACAGCTAAGCTGAAGCTAAGCTGAAGCTAAGCTAAAGCTAAGCTAGAGCTAAGCTAAAGCTAAGCTAAAGCTAAGCTGAAGCTAAGCTAACGCTAAACTAGAGCTAAGCTAAAGCTCAGCTAAAGCCAAGCTGAAGCTAAGCTAGAGCTAAGCTAAAGCTAAGCTAGAGCTAAGCTGAAGCTAAGCTGAAGCTAAGCTGAAGCTAAGCTAGAGCTAAGCTAGAGCTAAGCTGAAGCTAAGCTGAAGCTAAGCTGAAGCTAAGCTAAATCTAAGTTAAATATAAGCTGAAGCTAAGCTAAAGCCAAGCTAAAGCTAAGCTAAAGCTAAGCTAAAGCTAAGCTAAAGCTAAAGCTAAAGCTAAAGCTAAAGCTAAGCTAAAGCTAAGCTGAAGCTAAGCTAAGCTGGGTGAACCCAGGGGGCGCAACTGGGGGAACCGCGGGGCGGGGACTGGGGGAACCGCCCGGGGCGGTTTACACTGCCCGCCCATTTAAGCTAAGAGAGTAAGAACCTTTCTAGGCAGAGCCTAGGTAGGGAATAAGAAGAAAAATACGAATAATGAGAAGAAGAACAAGAAGACGAGTATTAATAATAATAATACTAATGATAAGAATTATAATAATAATACTAATAATGATAATACTAATAATAATAATAATAATAATAATAATAATAATAATAATAATAATAATATTAATATTAATATTAATAATAATAATACGACAAGTAATAAGAGTAATAATAATAAGAAGAAGAAGAAGAGGAGGAGGAGGAGGAGGAGGAGGAGGAGGAGGAGGAGGAGGAGGAGGAGGAGGAGGATCCCTCCCTCCCCTCGCCAGGGCCCCCGAAGAGCCAGGGGCACGGACAGACTCCACTGACCGAGCCCCTCGGCGAGCCCCTGCACGCCGCTCTCCGTGGCCGGCACCAGCGGGGGCGTGCGCGGGGTCGTGCCGTGGGGGCATGGCGCCTGCTCGTGCTCGTGTGGCCAGGGTCCCTCGCGTTCGGTAGCAAATCATGGGGGCCTGGTGAGTAGCGTCGATTAGTGTCTGGGAGTCGATGAGATGGCGCCGATCCAGCGTCGGCTAGCGTCGACTGGCGTCGATTCAGCGTCGAGTAGCGTCGAGTAGCGTCGACTATATCGTCGATTGGCGTTGGTTGGCGTCGATTCGCAAGAGCCGACAAGATGGCATTGGAGGCTCCCATGAGTTGCCACTGGACTCGCGCCTGCTGCCCGCAGGCGCGGCCGCTCGCTCGCCGCGCGGCGCCCTGCTCGGAACTCTGGGGGGGGCCATTGGTTTGGGTACCGAAGCGGCGGACTTTGGGACTCCTGGCCCTTGCGTGTTGCAGTGCTAGTGCTCGATTTTTTGTTGGGAGATTCTCGAGCTGCCTGCGGCAAGTGCCGCCGCCGTGTCAATCCAGCATGTTGGCTGGCGGCTGTTCGAGGGGGCACGGGAGCCCGTCGCGTGTGACACTTCGGGCCTCTTGAAGCTTCTGGTGGCCTCTTGAGGGGTTCTTGGGGGCCTCTTGGGGCCTCTTGGGGCCTCTTGGCAGCACTTTGGGGGCGCCACGGGGGCTCTTGGGAGCTCCTTGGGCCGTCTGATGGCGCTTTTGGGCCGTATGGGCGCTTATAGCGTCCATGTTGAGGGGCTCTCTGGGTCGTCTTGGGGCTCTCTTGGGAACCTTGAGGGCCGTTCGGACAGACTTTGTTTTTTTGGTGGTGCAGCATTTGTGTTACATGCATGTTGCAATATTCTAGAAATCGCACGTCCGCTCCCACTTGCCAGTTCCTTTTTCCCAACCATCCTGTGGTGTTGGGTCCTCGTTTTGAAGAGACGGTGCCCCGCGTTCTCCTTCCTTCCTCCCGCTGCCTCCTCCCCCCTCCCATCATCATCATCATCAACACCCATTTCGGCACACCCCTCACACGTTTCGTGGCTCCATAGGGAGCTCCACCGAAGGCCCCAGTGCCCGCGGCCGCATGCGTCCCCCACACCCATTTCGGCACACCCCTCACACGTTTCGTGGCTCCATAGGGAGCTCCACCGAAGGCCCCAGTGCCCGCGGCCGCATGCGTCCCCCACACCCATTTCGGCACACCCCTCACACGTTTCGTGGCTCCATAGGGAGCTCCACCGAAGGCCCCAGTGCCCGCGGCCGCATGCGTCCCCCACACCCATTTCGGCACACCCCTCACACGTTTCGTGGCTCCATAGGGAGCTCCACCGAAGGCCCCAGTGCCCGCGGCCGCATGCGTCCCCCACACCCATTTCGGCACACCCCTCACACGTTTCGTGGCTCCATAGGGAGCTCCACCGAAGGCCCCAGTGCCCGCGGCCGCATGCGTCCCCCACACCCATTTCGGCACACCCCTCACACGTTTCGTGGCTCCATAGGGAGCTCCACCGAAGGCCCCAGTGCCCGCGGCCGCATGCGTCCCCCACACCCATTTCGGCACACCCCTCACACGTTTCGTGGCTCCATAGGGAGCTCCACCGAAGGCCCCAGTGCCCGCGGCCGCATGCGTCCCCCACACCCATTTCGGCACACCCCTCACACGTTTCGTGGCTCCATAGGGAGCTCCACCGAAGGCCCCAGTGCCCGCGGCCGCATGCGTCCCCCACACCCATTTCGGCACACGCGTGGCTCGCACAAGAGGCACACCCCTGCCCGCATGCGTCCCCCACACCCATTTCGGCACACCCCTCACACGTTTCGTGGCTCCATAGGGAGCTCCACCGAAGGCCCCAGTGCCCGCGGCCGCATGCGTCCCCCACACCCATTTCGGCACACCCCTCACACGTTTCGTGGCTCCATAGGGAGCTCCACCGAAGGCCCCAGTGCCCGCGGCCGCATGCGTCCCCCACACCCATTTCGGCACACCCCTCACACGTTTCGTGGCTCCATAGGGAGCTCCACCGAAGGCCCCAGTGCCCGCGGCCGCATGCGTCACCCACACCCATTTCGGCACACCCCTCACACGTTTCGTGGCTCCATAGGGAGCTCCACCGAAGGCCTCAGTGCCGCCGCCCGCATGCGTCACCCCCACCCATTTCGGCACACCCCCCGCATTTCTCGCACGGCAGGGTCATCACCACGGTGGCGTGCCAGGGGCGCACCATGCGCGAAGGCGACGGGGCGGGGGAACGGCGCTCCGGGGGCGGCCAGACCTCCGGGGCGCGAGCAGTCCGCGGCCAGACCATCTCTCGGTCCTGTGGACTCTCGCCCTGGGCCGTCGGCTGCCCGGCGCGCTGCTCCCTCGGTCGACGTCGCCCAGGCGTGATCCTGGATTGCGGCCGCCACGAGGTAGGGAACGGCAAGAAGGAGGACGACGACTGGTGGCTGGAGCTCTACGTGCTGCTCTCGCGCGCCACGCGCCACGAGGACCTCCTGCTCATGCGGGCGCCGCGCATCGAGTTCTTCCTGGCAGGGCCGCCGCAGGGCTTGCGGAAGCAGCTGGAGCAGTTTGCGGCGCGCACGAAGCGGTGCAGGAGGGAAGCGACGGCCCTCGCCAGGGAGCTCGGCTTCACCGAGTTCATCCGCGAGGCCTGACCTGAGGAGCGTCTCCCCCGAGCCGCGCCTTCTCTCGACTGCCCGACTAATTGTTTGGCCTCGCGCCGCGGACGACCCGCGCGCGTCGCTGGGACCCTCTCGGGGCGACCAGCGCGCGTCGCGGGAACTCCGTGCTGCGGGGGGCCCGGCGCCTCGTTCGCCCGTCGTCGCTCTGCCCAGCGGTCAGAGACTTGCCCGCTATCAGCCAGCCAGTTAGCTAGTCAGCTCTCTCTGCTTCGCGCAGCGGACGACCCGCGCGCGTCGCTGGGACCCCGCCCGGGGCGACCAGCGCGCGTCGCGGGGACTCCGCGCTGCGCTGCGCCCGCAGCCTTGGATTTTGGAGTGCGCGGGCAAAGAGGAAGGAAAAGAAGAGCCGAAAGCGGGCGCGATCCTCGCAAGAGGCGTGCCGACATGGGCGTCGCGACGTGCGGACGCTGCCGTCGGGGTTCCCGCGGAAGCTGCCTGCGGCGGCCACGCCCAGTGTCACGTGTGTTCGGACAGGCATGCTCGACACTTACACTAGGCGGTTCCATGATCGCATTCATGCAAATATATTCACTCGCGCGCAGACCCATTCATACTCAGATTCCCTCGCGCTCTGACTCACCCGCGTTCTTTCTCTCGTAATCAGATCTATCGTATTCCTTTGCGTTGTGTACCCCGCCACATTTCGGCACACCCCTCATGCGGTTCGTGGCCCCATAGGGAGCGCCACCGAAGAAGATACTCACAATTGCGATACTCACAACTGCATATGGTTGGGTCCTTCGCCAGGATAATTTATTCGGTCCTGGATCCTCTCTCATGGCATTGGTCCCCCCCTCCCCCCCTCCCTTCCGCACCTTCGTCTTGCCTTCGCCGCCGGAGTTCGCGCCGCAGACCCGCCCTTCTCCGCCGCGCGCCCGTCCCCTCCCCCTCCTGCGCGTAGAGGCACGTCGAGCTGGGCATCTACCCCTGCACCGCCGACTTCAAGCAGAGGCGCCCTCCCAAGTCGGAAGAGAAGCAGAGACCCATCGCCACCGAGAGCCCAAGGGGGGAGGGGGTAGCCGGCCACTTGGCGTGAGGCACGCCCGGGCGCCACCCAGTGCCAGACGACGCTCGGGCGTGCCAGGGGAGAGAGAGTGAGAGAGAGAGAGAGAGAGAGATCGAGAGAGAGAGAGAGAGATAGAGATCAGAACGAGAAGAGAGAACACACATACGTGAATCTGGTAGAGTAGCTCGCGAGTTGTCGAGACTGAAGAGCACAGAGGAGATGGCACACGGCAGAGCGCAGAATGCAGGCATCGTAGACCAGAGCGCACAGAGAAGAGCGAAACGAGCGGAGAGGCGGTAGCACATAGGTGATGATGCGTGCCATACTGCGGTAGCGGTTCAGGATCGATACAACATGTAGAGGGGACGAGCACAGAGCAGGGAGTAGAGAGTTGAGGCTAGAGAGTCGATGCGTGCCGAGCCAAGAGCAGAGCGAGTGGAGAGAACCCAATCCGTCACATTATATTACTCTGGCATTCTCGCCCACCAGCGCGCTGTCTTGACACTCCACGCGCCAGCTGATGATTGGGCTTTTGCTGAAGTTTGAGATCGTTGGAACGGCTCTCGAAGGCATCCTAGAACCTCTGCTCTGCGGGTCTCCGCCGAGCCTCCGGAAGACCATGGGAACGTTCGAGAACTTCGCGATGACCTTCCCGCAAGCCCTCTGGTACCGCCGAACACCTCCGAGAAGTCCTGGCCAACTCCGCAGACCTTCTCTGCTCCTCCGCGAACCGCCGAACACCTCCGAATGTCCTCGAGAGGGCCTCTCGAAGGCCCCGGCGAACCTCCGAGAACTCCCGAAAACGCCCTCCTGGATTCTCGACCGCCCAGATAGGGTCGCGGTAGATGGGGTCGCAGGATCGCGCCTCATCGCCGATTCATCGGCGATGTTCGCAGATGCGGCGCGACCAGGAGACAGATTTGTTCAACCCAGACGTCACAAGTGATTCCCCGATGCATCGGCGATACGGATGCGGTGTGATCCTCCGTCCCCATCTGCTCCAGCAGCATTTGGGTGGCCGCTACGATCAGGAACTTTGGCTTAGCGTGTTGCTCCGCCCATTCTGGCCAACTACGCTTCGGCGCGACACGCTATCCACGTCCCAGTCCCCGAGCACCAACTTCCGAGCTTTTACTGGCCTCCCGCCCCGCGGAGCGGAGCGACACGCTGTCCGCCGCAGGTACAGCGTGTCGCCGGGCTCGCCGCCGCGACACGCTAAGCAGAAGTTCCCGACCCGATTACTTCCCAGCACCCCCGACAGAGCCCATTGCGATCCGATCGATCCGATTCGAAGTCGATTCTGGTTGGCCCGATCCGATTCGATTCCGATGTCCTGACAATCCGATGCGGCCCGATGCTTACATGGCGCTGTTGTGCGTCCTGGCGCAGCCGATCCGATTCGATTTCGATTCTGCGCCGATGCATTCGGTGGCAACTCGTGGCTCATGGGAGTCTTCCATGCCATCTTGTCGGCTCTTGCGAATCGACGCCAGTCGACGCTAAATCGACGCTAAATCGACGCTAGTCGACGCTGGCCGACGCTAGATCGGCGCCATCTCATCGACTCCTAGACACTCATCGGCGCGAGTCGACGCTAAAGACGGAATCGAGAGGGTATACCAGGCTCCCATAATTCGCTACCGAAGATGCAGCCCGGTTTGACGCACACGTCGGCTCGGCCTGATTCTTGTGCCGATTTCGAGGCGGACTGGCCCTGCCCCCGGGGCCCTCCGACCGGGCGGGGCTGGGGCGAGGACAGAAATCCCTCCCGGAGCGTTCCAGGGACGCGTCGCAGGGCGTGCCCGGAGCGCTCTGAGAGGGCCGCGGCGCCCGAGGCATCCTCCAGAGCCGCGGGATCCCAGAGCTTCTGGAGTTCTACCGTCGCCCGACTCTGTCCTCCTCGTCCTGGCCTCGTCCTCTCCGGGCGGGTCCACCTGGGCGGGCCGACGTGGGGCCTCCGCGGCAGGCGCTCCGCGAGGGCGAGCCTCTCTCGGGGGAGGCCCTGGTGTCGAGGTCGATCGGGGCTCGGTCCGATCTGCCGAGTCGATGCTGGCTGGTCCTGTCCGGGGGCCCTCCGAGAGGCCCTGCACGGCAGAGGGGAGCCATTCGTGGAACCTCCGCCTGCTCTCCCCCGAACCTCAGAGTTGGCCCGCGCGGGGAAGACCGCGGTCGAAGCGCAATTCGTCCAACCCACCGCCGACATGGATCCTTGGGGGGTGGCATTGACGAGCACATAGTTTTGAACCATGTTTTGAAAATTGGAGGGGGGGCATTGACACGTGAATGTGGCGTGTGTGCTCGCTAAGTTTCTCACGAGGCATTTACTGATGGGCCTGTCTTCCATCACCACCACCACCACCACCAGCAGCACCACCACCACCACCACCAGCACCACCAGCACCACCAGCACCACCAGCACCACCAGCACCACCAGCACCACCAGCACCACCACCACCACCACCACCACCAGCACCACCAGCACCACCAGCACCACCAGCACCACCAGCACCAGCACCAGCACCAGCACCAGCACCAGCACCATCACCAGCACCAGCACCAGCACCACAACCACCACTACCACCACCACCACCACCACCACCACCACCACCACCACCACCACCACCACCACCACCACCACCACCACCACCACCACCACCACCACCACCACCACCACCACCACCACCACCACCACCACCACCACCACCACCACCACCACCACCACCACCACCACCACCACCACCACCACCACCACCACCACCACCACCACCACCACCACCACCACCACCACCACCACCACCACCACCACCACCACCACCACCACCACCACCACCACCACCACCACCACCACCACCACCACCACCACCACCACCACCACCACCACCATAAATTGGAGAGGGGAACGAGGTGGAGGACGAGGAGGAGGAGGACGAAGAGGAGGAGGAGCAGGAGGACCCCCTCACCCTTATGGTCGCGGAGGTGGAAAACACGCCCACCATCTATAGACGGGCCTTCCCCAGAGGCCTGCTCCGCGAGAGGCGGAGCCTCTCCCCTAGGGAGAGGCCTCGCCCTTCGCCGCGAGCGCCTGCGAGCGCCCCGCGGCCGAGGCACCGGGAGAGGGTGATGTTCCACTGCAAGATGGCGCTGGCGTACCTGGACTCGCGGGAGGCCCGTGCCGGTTGGGGGGGAGGGGGAGGGTCAGCGGAGGAGAAGGTGCTCACACCGCTGCCCTTCCCCCGTTTTCCATTTTGTGAGCCTCCTGGGCGGCCCTCGTCGCCATCGCTGGATTCGCACCCCGGGAGAGGTCCGGGGAGTAGCGGTATCGGTACCCCGCCAGGGAGGGACTCGCGGGAGGCCCGTGCTGGATTGGGGGGGAGGGGCCCCGGTCCGATGCGGGGATTCAGGTGTGGCACCCCCGCAATTGCGGATAAGAGTGAAGGGGCGGGCGCGGGGTGGGTCGTGGGTGTGTCGGGTGGGTCACGGGGTGGGTCGTGGGTGGGTCGCAGGTGGGTCGCGGGAGGCCTGTGTCGAATTTTAGTGTCGTTTAGCTGACCCCTTGTCCTCTTATCCCCATCCCCATCCAGACCCCCCATCGCAGCACCCCAGTTGGAGAGCCCTCGAAACCCAAAGGAAACGGCCCTCGCAACCCGAAACCTGGACTCGCGGGAGGCCCGTGCCGGATTGGGGGGAGGGGGAGGGTCAGAGGAGGAAAAGGTACCTATATTGCTTTCCTTCCCCGGTTTTCCATTTTGTGAGCCTCCTGGGCGGCTCTCGTCGCCACCGCTGGATTCGCCTCGGAATCCTGGTCAGAACGCACCCCGGGAGCGTTTCAGGGCGTAGCGGTATCGGTACCTTGCCCAGGGACTCGTGGGAGGCCCGCGCCAGATTAGGGGGGCCCTGATCCGAGGCGGGGATTTCTACATAGCCACCGCCTGGATGATCGATTTTCGGAGACCTCGACAGGCGGCGGGAATGGACAGATTCGGGCCCCCGTGCCGCCCGCTGGGGTCTCAGAACGTCGGTTCCACAGGCGGCGGATCTGGGATCCGGGTCTTGGCGTCGCAGCTTTTTCGAGGCGAGGCGCTCTCGCACATTTCCCCGGGCCCCGGGGCCATGACGGGCGGGATGCGGCTCGAGGCGTGCTGCAGAGCGACGGGGTCCGCGGCTCTTGTCGTGACCGTGCGCGATGTCGTATTTTCGGGGGCTGCCAGAGGTGCTCCTGGCCCAAGGCCCTCCCCAGGATTTCCAGGGAGCCTTCCGTCCAGGCTTCCCAGAGCGGCCCCCCTGGGCCACGGAACCCTTTATCTTCGTCGTCGTTCGTTCGTTCGTTCGTTCGCCCCCCTGGGCCCTCCCCCTCTGACCCACCCCCCATGGGCCCTCCCCCTCGGACCCAGCCCCCCCCCCCTGAGCCCCAGCTTCCCTGGGCCTAGGCGCCCCCCCTCGGGACCCCCTGGGGCCCCCACGGCCTCCAGGGCACCCCTCACGAGGCCCAGCGCGCCCCAGGGGCCCCAGCACGGAGCGAGAAGCCGGGGGCACCGTGGGCCAGGGGCACCTTAGGCAACCCTCGATGTTTGTTTCGCGTCGTCGGGTCTCATGGGGGTGGGGAGGGGAGCGAGGTGGAGGAGATGGGGCAGGGGAGGGGGAGAGGGGAGAGGCAGGGGGCAAGCTGGGCGCGCTCGCTCCATCTCTGGTATCCCTCCCACCCTCTCCTCCCCATTGTGCCGATGTTTCGCCATCCGCGGACGCGTGTCATGGCGGACCTGGAACTCCCAAGACGACTGCACCGTGTTATGCGGAGTCGGAAAATGGGTGCTGCGTACATAGGAGGAGGGGGAGGAGGAGGAGGAGGAGGGGGAGGAGGAGGAGGAGGAGGAAGTGGCAGATGAGCAGGAGGAACAAGGAGGAAAGGGGAAGGACTGGGACGAGCTGCACCAGCGGAGCTGGAGCGAAAGCGGCGGGGGGGGCAGGATGACCAGGGGAGAGCGGAGGAGGGGAAAGGAGGGTGCCCACAAGGACGAGGAGGAGCTCGGATCCAGAAAGAGTGGCGCGCGCGCTGGGGCGAGATCGCCACTCTGGACGACGGGAGCGGCGCGCCGATCCGAAGACGAGGCCAACCGCTGCAGCGGCAGCACCATCTTTGAAGGACCGAAAAACAATCGGATTACACAAGCACATGCGAACAAGCACAATACTTACACTCATGCGTGTAGAGAGCAATGCACGGAGAGGGCCGACGATAGTCGGGACAGGACTAGGAAAGAGAGGAGAGCTGTATTCATGCGATGGAATAGTAAACAATGAGCTGGGTGCACTCGCGCCGTATTTGGCATCCTACTCGTCCCGCCCATATCTTCATTGCGCCGACTTCTCCATGTCCGCCGACGGGTGTCATGGCGGACCTGGAGCCACCCAAGGGAGCCCATCGTGTCAAGCGCATACATAAAAGAAACGGAAGCTGTCAGGAGGATTGCAAGGAGGAATCTTCTGAGGATGAGGAGGGGTGAGGACGAGGATGAGCAGGAGGAAGATTATGAGGATGAGGAGGATGAGCAGGAGGAAGATTCTGAGGATGAGGAGGGGTGAGGACGAGGAGGCAGAGAAACGAAAGCAGCAGCAGCAGCAGCAGGAGTGGGAGGAGCGGGAGGAGCAGGGGGGCCAGTGGAAAGCGCGGGAGGGGGCAGGAGCGGGGTCTGCAAGGACGACGACGGACTCGGATCCAGACCTGTGGCTTGCGTTGGGGCGAGGGCGCCGTCGATCCCAACACAGAGCCAGCGCTACGGCGGGAGACGCAATCTTGGAGCACTGGAAGCACTGAAAACGGCGTGCGACAAGTCATCTTTTGAGATTCGACGCGCTGAAAAGAACAGTATGCGACAGACATGGCCCCCCGCTCGGGCAGGATCCGGGGAGGGGGTTTTGGGGGCAGGAGGATGAGGAGGGGGAGAGGGGGGATGAGGAGGGGTAGGGTGAGGAGGCCCAGTCGTGGCGAGGAGGGTAGGGATGGCGACAAAGGGGGGGTTCGGTGATGAGGAGGGGTATGGGGAGAGGGAGAGGGGATGAGCAGGGTGATGGGGAGGGAGGGTGATGGGGGAGGGAGGGGGTGAGAGAGGGAGAGAGATAAGAAGGGGCAGGGTGATGAGCAGGGTGATAGGGGAGGGGGAGAGGTGCGATGTGATGCGGAGGATGCTGGAACAAGAGAGGGGGACATATGCCCAGTCGTGGCGAGGAGGGCGCCACAAGAGGCCACCCAAGAGGCCCAGCCACCTCCACAGCGATCGGCGACGACGACTGCCGACCGACCCACGACGACGCACCGTGCCCTCGATCGCCGACGGCGACGAGCGACGTCCCCGCTCAGCGACGAGAGATGCCGCCCTTGACCGATCGGCGGCGGCGGCGGTGCGACTGCGGACGCCCCTTCGACACGGTCGGCGTGGCCTCCCGGACGACCAGCCGTCCCGCGGAGGGGGAGGTCGGTATCACATACACATTTTTTGATCCGCGGGTCGAGAGCGCACCTCTTCCGGTCGAGACTAAGCGGGCCGCGCGAAGCCTGAATTAGCAGAGCGGGGAACAGTAGGAGAGGCCTCACGTCAAGGCCAGGAGGAGGCAAAGCCTCGGGATCAGGCGGTGCCGAAGACGATGTACTTGCAAAGGAACGCCTTGGACAGGAACCCGGGGCATCACAGAAACATGCTCAGATCGTATGTGTGCGTCGGCCCTGCAGGGGCGATGCGCGCGCTCAGAGACCTTACACTGCGGGCTCGGCGGCGGGCGCTTCCTGGCGATACCGCTTGGGCAGCGATCTGCCAAGTGTTTGATTCGAACGTGCACTTCAGGGGGGAGCACACAGTACTAGTGCGTTCTTCCTTCTGCGTCCAAGAGGAGAGAGAGAGAGAGAGAGAGAGAGCGAGAAGAGAGAGAGAGAGAGAGAGCGAGAGATAAGGCTCGGATCGCGATGAAGCTCTGCGAGGTAGTGGAGCCGTCCACGCGGTCCTCCGAGGTCTGGATCGCACAGGACTCGGCGCTCCATCGCAGGAACAAGCAGTCATGACGATGACGATGATGGGTGATGATGAGAAGGAGTGTGACGGTGATGATGATGGTCACGCTAATGATGATGCTGATGATGATGATGATGCTGATGATGATGATGCTGATGATGATGATGATGATGATGATTCATGATGATGATGCTGATGATGATGCTGATGATGATGATGATAATGATGATGATGATGAGGCTGACGGTGTTGGTGTTGGTATTGTGGATGGCGTGGTCATCTTGGTGGAGATGCCGATGATGTAGTCGGTTTGTCGGCGACGACGACGATGACGACGACGATGATGAGGGCAATAATGACAATGACGTTGATTATGCTGATGATGCTGATGATGATGCTGATGGTGATGATGCTGATGATGCTGCTGCTGCTGATGATGAGGTTGATCATGATGGTGATGGTGATGATGATGGTGAGTCGTTCCAGCACTCCAGGTTTTTGCGGGTTCTCCCACACGGGCTGCAGAGACGAGAGCCGCCACTTCGACAGATACTCCAGAACTCCTGGATCGCATCCTTGCCCGGTCGCATCATGAATCCATTCTGCGTTCGAATCGGTCAAAGATGCCATTTCTCCCCAACCAAAGATGTGTATATTGTTTACCCATGTCGTAACATGGTGCTCTTTTGATTGCCCATTTCCTGAGATGGGGTTCTTGTTATTACCCAGACGGCTCCGAGAACCTCTTCCTCACCTCCTCTTCCTGCTCTTCCTCTGTCAGAGTCACCCAGACTTACTCATACTCGTTCATACTCAGAGTCACTCAGACTCAGACTCACTCGTACCCTGACTTGCTCGGACTGAGATTCACTCACACTTGGACTCCCTCATGCTCAGACTCACTCGTGCCCAGACTCCCTCATGCTCAGAGTCGCTCATGCTCAGACTCAGCTCGTGCTCAAGCCCACTCGTGCTCAGACTCGCTCAGACTCAGTCTCCCTCATACCCGGACCCACGCGGCTGCGCAGGCCCCTCCTCCCCATGTCTTCCTGCTCCCACCTCGTCCTCCCATCCCACGCCATGCACAGGACAGCACTCAATGGAGCAATTTGGAACAAGCGTTCCTACGCCACACAAACACACACACACACACACTACCAGCCTCGAACGTATCCCTATCCCTAAGATTGACACGCCAAAAGGCGATGACAATCTTAGGGATTCGCCCTCAAAAAATAAGGGAATCCCTAAGACTGGCATCGTGATGAGGAGGTGCCCAGCATAGGGATAGGGATATGTTCCAGGCTGGTAAACACACACAGCACTGTCCATCAGTTCCACATCTGCAACTGAGGGCCCCGGCCCGCCCGCGCAGGCCTTCCAGGCCCCGCCTCCCCGGCGGACTCAGGCGCGCCTTGCCTTGCCTCGTCCTCCCACCTCCACTTCGAGAGGGAGGAGGAGGAAGAAACGGAGGAGGGAGTAGGGAGGAGGAGGGAGAGGAGGAGGAGGAAGGAGGAAGGAGGAGGAGGGAGGAGGATGGAGAAGGAACAGGAGGAGAAGGGAGGGAGGGGGAGGGAGGAGGAGGAGGAGGAGGAGGAGGGGGAGGGAGGGAGGAGGAGGAGGAGGAGGAGGAGGAGGAGGAGGAGGAGGAGGAGGAGGAGGAGGAGGAGGAGGAGGAGGAGGAGGAGGAGGAGGAGGAGGAGGAGGAGGAGTCCCCCCGTGCCGCCTGGCAAGGACCCCGAGCTGGACCTCGGCCTGCTCCGCGTCACCCACCTCTCCGTCCTCGCCAGCGCGGCCCGGCGCGTGAAGTTCTACCAGAAGGCCCCCGCCCTTTGCCTGCAGGCCCGTGGATAGTCTTATGTCGGGCGTGTCCCCCATACAGGGGGATTTTCGACGAAACATAAAAAACAGATACCCCCAAAATACCCCCAAAAAGGTCAGAAAATATTCAAAAATAGTCCCCAGACTATTTTTGGGTTATTTTTGAATATTGCCCCTGTAGAGGGACAAGCCCGACTTAAGGATAGTCCGTCCGTGCAGGTGCATGCAGACGAGGAGGGAGGAGGACGGCGACACGAGGCGGAGGCTGGAGCCTCCTCCTCTTTCGGAGGAGGAGGACGGCGACAGGAGGCGGAGGCTGGAGGGGTGGGGTGGGGGAGTTCTGTGCTCCAGAGGGGCTGCAGGGAGAGTTCAAGGTCGGGGGCTCCTGGGGATGTACATGGGGGATGAATCAACAGAGGGGTTGGGGTAGGAGGAGGAGTCGGAGGAGGAGGCGGAGGAGGAGGAGGAGGAGGGTGGGGGAGGAGGGAGGAGAGGCAAGCCAGGTGCGCTAGCGTCACATCAGACGTCCTGCCCCTCCCTCCCATCCCCTACCATGGCGTAGATCTCCCATCTATTCGCACAGTCGGATGTCGAGCAGGGCGATGATTCCAAGAGGGTACGCGATGGATGGAAAAGCATGGCGTAAATGAGCTCGGCAGTGCAGTGCAAAACATGTCATAGCATGGCGTGGTATTTCGTAGTGAATCATTGCATCACAAAACTTAGCAACGCAAAGCATGGCATCGCACAGCGGTTCACAACACAGCATCGCATTGCATGCCGTGGCATGGCACCGGATGACTTGGAGGGTGAGTGGCCCGTCTACGAGAGGACAGGGCCTGCCTGGAATGCCGGCTCCATGTCCTCCGCAACCGTACCTGCACGATGTGGGCGTTTTCGAATGCCAAGTGCCGTCCGGACGCGCGGGAACGTGGCCAGCGCTGCAGCGGGAGCGCGATCTTGAATGACCGAAGCGCGGAAATGAGGGCGGCGCTGCAGCGGGAGCACCATTTTGGACGAACAGAAACGACCGAATTGAAAAACACGTAGGGGAAACCAAATCATGAAATCTTGTGGGTAAAAACAATACGCGGAGAGGACGGGATACTCTCTGGACAGAGTCAGGGGAGAAAGGAGAGTAGTACTAACATTGTGTAATTGTAGATGGAGCAGGAGGAGGAGGAGGAGGAGGAGGAGGAGGAGGAGGAGGAGGAGGAGGAGAAGCGGACCACCTGACGCCTCCTCCTCCTCCTCCTCCTTCAAGGGACCCTCGAGGGAACCTCCGAAAGTTCGAAGAATTTTGAGTTTTTCGTTTGTTTGTTTGTTTGTTTCTGATTCCCGGACCGATGACGGCCGTCATTTGGGGGGAGGGGAAGGGGGCCGATGACGTCACGTTTCGCGCCGGCGGCGTCTTGGAATGCCCAGGGATGACTGAGAACGGGTAGCAGCAGCATGTACAGCGCCTATGTACACCACAGCGCCTGCGTGCACCACAGCGCCTGAGCACACAACGCCGCCGATGCACACCACAGCAGCCGTGTGCAACACAGCGCCAGTGTGTGCCCCAGTGCCTGCGTGCAACACAGCGCTTGTGTACACCACAACGCCTGCGTACACCACATCAGCCGTGTGCAACACAGCACCAGTGTACACCACAGTGCCTGCGTGCACCACAGCTCCTGTGTACACCATGGCGCCGGTGTGCACCGCAGCAACCCTGCGCAACAGAGCACATTTGTTGTACATCACATACAGAGTTTTAGAAGGAATCCTTATGACAAAATGGAGCGCCTGTGGATTCCACAGAAAACAAATATCTCACAGGGTTTGGAAAATAATCCTTATGGACGAAAAGGCGCCGCTGGAATTTACGAGTCCTCCCGGGTCCTCCCGGCTCACGCTAATCCCTCCCATCTGCGTCCAGGAGGCTCCCGCGGAATTGACCATCCGAGAACCAAGTGGATTGATTCAATCGACCATTCTGCGGTGCACGCTGCGATGCGCACGTGCGCTGTAGCGCCGACCCGCACGACGGGGGGAAATGTGAGGGAGGAGGAGGAGGAGGAGGAGGAGGAGGAGGA